TTTTTAGCATTTTAAGCTTCACTACCAAGTCTGTTTATTTTCTTTAAAACAGATATGAGCTATTTTAAGGACAATTGTCTAAAAACAAGGTTAATTTACAGTAGCTTGAACTGAATATATAAAGATCTGTATTCCATTTAGTTTAGTGTTACATCTATAATGGCTGCAATGGCATCATTTCAAATGATGTACTGGATGGGTTCATAAATTAAGCACAAGGCAGTTGGTTGCTTTTTGGCATGATGCAGTATGTCAGCAGTCCCAAGGCTTTACGGCTTGGCAGCCCATCAGGGGAAGAGAGGGGAACCAGCCTGTGCAAGCGGTGGCTGGCATGTGCAAGTCGAGCTATGTGTGCACATCGGTCCACTTCTTGTGCATGTCATTCTCCTAGGTGCTGCTTGGAGTGTCCAAGCACTGGTTAACATCAGCTTGCTGCCCAAGGACCGAGTTTAATATTTTTGTAGCTCCGCCTCCTGCTCTCCTAAGAGGCTCAGTTTCAAAAAACTCAGTTGCCCTACAGGATGCATTTTTGGGAGATCCAGCCCTTGTGCAGCAAGCTGGTTCCCCTAGCCAGTGTAGTGTAGCTCCTAGAATTTTATTTTTACTGTGGTTAGTTAGCTTAAACCTTCTGTTTTCCCAAATGGGTCTGCCAGCGCCAGCTGAGAGGGCGCCTTCAGCTCAGGGTACCAAGGACACCATTGGGCCCCAGGACCCAGGTGCGGGACTTTTCAAGGAGGCTTCCCCTCCTCTGGACCTGGTAAGGCAAAGCCAACGGTCAATCTCTGAACGCATGTGCGCCAACCAGCTGCTCGTACAGCCTGGTTCTGAATGGGCCATGGCCTGGTAGTGAGCTGCCACCCAGGGGTTGGGATCCATGCAGTATGTGACCCCAAATCTTATGATTTATAAAATATTATTTATGGCTTTGTATAATATTCAAAGCAGCCAATTGTGGCTTAATTAACAGATCATGTTAGAAAATATGAGTTAATAGAATATGCAAGTCTCACTGAATTCTACCTAAATTACATGCAGTATAAATTGATGTTTCTGTAAGCTTTAGTGAAAGAAAAGTTATGTTTATGAATGTTGATGAAGATTCTCAGTCATCCAGGTAGAAATGTCTAGAATTGTGTGCTGGCAACTGAACTTATTTTTGTCGGTTTTAGATGTTACTGTTTATAAACCTTGATCAATATACAGCATTTTTCAGGTCAGATGAGGTTACTGAGAATTTCAAGTAGAGCTCTGCTTTATATGTGACAAGAGTATACTCCAAAGATCGGAACAATCAAATTCTTGAGTCACTAGAATTTTGGGCATATTAACTGTAATAGATAAGCAGATTTAAGTAATATTAGGTTATTAAAAACTAATAATAAAAAGTGTGCTAGAATATATTCCAAAAATAAAGAACTGAGCAGTATATTTGACAAGTATCAAAGCAATCATTATTGGGGTTTTTTTGGTGGTAGGAGGGAGTAATCAGAAAATTAACTAGAGACTATTTACATAAAGATATGTAGTGCCCAGTTTTCCTTCTTAAAGTTGCTAATTAATTGAAACCAATCCTGGAGTTTTTTCCCAAATAAATGAGACATCATTATATAGATACATGTATTTTTAGACGCATGTACACACTAGCCAGAGGTTATTGCAAAACAAAAACTCAAGTTGAAGGATGTAAAGAAACCATTTATACAATTAGTTGATGCCTTGTCTTTATGTGTAACATGTCTTTCTTTAATACCTGCATCCATTTTTTATTCTTCCATAACTAAAAATAAAAAAGGGATGAGGTAAGATTAGAGGAGTTGTGTATTAGGAATGGGGTAAAGAAAGAAGTAAATAATATATAACTCAATAATGTTTTGCTGGGTTCTGTGAGCACGACCCCATATATATTTACTGTAATAAATTCCATTGGGTTACTTCTAAGTAATTTTTTAAAGTCATCTTGTTTAATCAATATGAAATTCGGCAATAATCAATTATTTTTTCTGGGGACAGGGAGTTGGATAACTTCCTATCTTTCTTATTCTTCTTCTCTGTAAAAGTTGAGCGTCTACCCCGTTTTCCTGAAAATAAGATCTCCCCAGATAATAAGCCTAATCGGGCTTTTGAGCACATGCACTAAAATAAGCCCTCCCCTGAAAATAAGCCATCCCCAAAAATATTGCAACACAGCAGCAGTCATGAGGTGACCACACTCACCACCTCCTGCATCTCAAAAAAAAAAAAGGCCTTCAACGAAAATAAGGCCAAGTACTTATTTTGAGGGTCAAAAGAAAATAACCCGGTTTATTTTCGTAGAAACACTTTAGTGAATAGACAAGTTACTGCCATTGTTTCTTTCTCAATGACAGTTTGAACTTGACAAATGTGTGGAGTCTAAGACACAGCCAAATCTCCATCTGTAAAATGTGCATATTTTAGTTATTAATTCATTTGGAAAACTTTTTTTAAATATGGAGGAAGCAACGATAACTAGCCTTTCCGTTCTCTTGGATTACAATTTATATCAGACTATTAGCTCTACCATCTGGATTAAAAGTTGCCAACAAAAATACGGTGTATATCTTCATTACCCCTCCTATCCTTTAGTGACCACATTCCATTCCATTGACTTGGTTGCTAAGTGAAATGTTTGTTGAGTAATCAAAAGACCAAAAGAGACGCTTTAAGATCACTGGTTGATCCATGCCATTCAGATGATGTTCTCTTGTATAGTGTTCCATGTCTCTCTCCCCCCCCCCTTTGACTCTTCACAGAGCAGAGAGTTTGCTTAAACCAGGGATCATCAATCTTTTGGACTTCAGGGACCTCAAATTCATAATTTTAAATCCTACGGACCACTAATATGAATCCAGTGTGCCACTCGCTGAAGCGCCTAGACTCCCAGTGATGGGATGGGGTCCTAAGGCACTTAGCTTGGCTGCCTGTTTCTCCAACCTTAAACACTTAGAACAAGAAAACCAAACACAGGGATCTCTCGCTCTCGCTCTTTTTCTCATCTCTCATCTCTCTCTCATCTATCTCTATCATGTCTGTCTCTGTCATCTCTCTCATCTTTCTCTCATCTCTCATCTCTCTCTCATCTTTCTCTCATCTATCTCTATCATCTCTCTGTCATATTTCTCTCTCCCTCCCTCCCTCCCTCTCTCTCATCTCATGGGCCAGCCAGTGTCTTGGGGCGCAGAGGAAGTTGTGCGTCTCCCAGTCACATAGCACCAACAAGGGCTGGAAGAAATGCCCATGAGATCCAGCAGAGATGAAGCTTCGCTCCTGTTCTGGAATACGGAGCGAATCTCCATCCCCCACCCTTCCCATCTCAGGCCAGGAAGGAATGAATGGGAGGGGAGGGTTAGCGTTAAGTCCCCATATTTCAGAGCTGTAGTCACAGGACTGGCCCATTGGTCATCCCAGAGCAGCTCCACCCAGGTGCGTTGCGGACCACCAAACTTTTCTCGTGGACCATTGGTTGGTGACCTCTGGCTTAAACAAACTACAGTATCTGAATTCCTGAGCTGCTTTTCTCCAGTGTAATATTTCCTGAAAAAATGTTAACTGCAATTTAACAAGCCGGGTCCTTAATTAGTTGATTCCAATTTTCTAGCCCTGCCCTTCTTTTGTTGTCAAAGAAATGAAATTCGGTCATAAATCAATTTACTGTTGAATTTGTGAAGATTGCTAGCTAAGATAGCCCCTTATGAACAGTGGCTGTATAAGGTCTCATAGGTCTCATTTAGCAATGCCTCAACTTTGAAGACCCCTACATCAAGCACCATTGTAACTTTGGTCACTGAATGGGCGATTGCAAAGCAAAGACTACCTGTAATATGAATTGATCTGTATTAATTGATTTATCCTATAGAAATGCAACCATGATGTAAACATATAGATACTTATATTCCAATTGAAAGCCTTCTATGTGGTATTTACTGCAATATCCAACTTCCTAGCTATTTTGCTGGCTTTGATTTGGAATAAATAGGAGCTGTGGATATCTGAAGGATTGCAAATTGGCTCAGGATGTAATTGAAATAATTCCTTTTCATTTTGGTGCAATGTAAATATTTGGAAGGGTATGTTGTTGTTTTTTTTAAAAAAAGGTATGTTACATGGATAATACACTATTATGAGAGAACAACAAACAGTCTGATATCAAAGCTTCCAAAATCACAGTTGTGCACAATAAGTATAACATTGAAAATTAAACTACCTTTGTCACAAGGATTTCTCAGAATAGTTACCGTGGTGGTACTGTTACCAAGCCATCTAGTATACTTTTCTGTATAGATTAAGGGAATCTAAATGTATTTTTGGCTGTCTGTGACAACTGTGTAATCAAAAAAATGCAATTGGAGTAAAATTATTGAAATTGTCAAAGAAGAAAAATGTGCTCATTATGCATTTTTAACATTTTCTAAAACAGTTGAACTTTATTATTTGGGACTACCTAGACTCTTAGAGCTTTTATTCAATCAAGGAACATAATTCAACAGTTTTGGTCATTTAGCATGCACACAGTTCTGTAGTGCATTTTTTTTACAGTACATTTGTGCTTTGGAACATATTGCATAGGCAATAAGTAAAGGTTAAGTCTGTCATTCTGCTTTATGTTCACGTACTTCCAAGTGTCTTAAGAAACTGGCATTTTCAGCTATGCGAAAATACTTTTGGAGCTTCTCATAAGCTGATACTCAAAAAATAACTTATTTATAAAATATGTTCTATAAATATTCAAAATTTGAGAACAGAGCCCTATATTGATAGTAGGAGAAATAGTAGGAGAAAATATTAACATTATTAATTTTATAGATCTAGTAGTTCTAATATATTTGTATTAAATTTTCTTTTGAGACTATTTTTAAAGAGATGGTATAAACTTGAGAAAATATTCAGAATTCAGTTTAAGCAATAGTTTCTTTAAGAAGTACTTATGAGTGGCCTTATACTATTTACTCACTTTTCATAATTCTGTTGTCTTTTCTGTACAGTTTCGATATTAAAGGAAACATAAAAATGATCAGATAAAATGCATGGAATACATCATGGACTTTAAGAGTGATGACTAATAAGATTAGCGGAGCAACATTGGAATTCCTCAGATCCAACAAAAAGCATTCATATTCCATTCATTTTGCAATGGTAGGAACCATTTTAACATATTTGCACAAAATTATATTGTTTTTTGTATCATTCAAACTGTTATTCTAATGACTATCTACACACACTAATCATAGAATAATATTAATGAATCAATGGGATATTTTGGTAACTTATTTTTGTGCATCTTTTGTTTATTTCTTTCATTACTGACATTTTCTATGTCAGTCCACTCCCAATGGAATGATACTGTATGTATCTTAAGGCTACTTATTTTAAAGATAGAAATATCTCGCAGAGTTGCATGACCTCCTAGATTCTGTGCTTAAATTTTATTACCATGCTGCTCCATATTGTATTGCTCAGGATATTGTTTGATCTGATTCATCCCGGGATCTTTATTCTTGCTACAGGGTTCCTTCTTCTGTTAAAACACTTTATCCCCTTCTATAATGTGCTTGTGTGTTCTATTCTTACATTGTAAATATAATTGCAATGCCACCAAGACCTTTTAAAAAAAAAAATCTGTTCAGTGTAGACTTTTCAATAGAAATCTACATTTAAAGAATTTTCTGCATCCATGTCTCAGATATTTAAGCAGTCCTTGTTGTTCTAACTCCTCATAAATTGGAAACAATAATCATCTTATGGCGTACTTCTTTTGTCTCTGAATCCTAAAACTATTGAATCTACTCTTCCATGCTTTTCATATCACAGCCTAACTATCTACTCCTCTTGAGCTGATTACATTCTGCTCTGACTTACTTTAATTAGCCTTGGAGTTCATTTGAATTTGGAATATAGCATCACTAAATATCACACAATATTTATCTTCAGTTTTATCTCAGAGAACGTATGCACAAAAGAATGGAATGCATGGCATAATTCTCCCATTTATTCAGAATGTCTTCTTCATTAAAGGACTGAAATCCCTGTACAATCGTTTATAACTCAGCTTGTCTTTGAATTGCCTAAATGGCTAAATTGGATATACTTTTGTGATCTCTTTGCTTTTACTAATGTTGGAAGTAATTATATTGTATTTTGTTATTTTAAGATACCATTTTTAAAAAATTGTATTTCACCCAAAAGTATTTTTCCGTAACAGAAATAACTTGCACAATATTCAAGCCAATTCTAGTAGAATTGCTTGTTTAGTGCATTATTGAAACATATGAACCAACCTGAAATCTACAGATTTTACATGTCACTTTACATAAATAAAACAGTGTTAATCATTTTTGCTAATTATTTGTTGAATCTGATCTGTTTACAAAAATGGAGCTGTGTGCGCACACGCTTGCCTACCGCTCACTCAAAACTATCCCCTCCCCCCCCACTGCCGGTCTGCACAGCTGGAAATGTTGGGGAACTCTGTGTTACAAGTTTCCATAGCTAGATTATGTAGCTGGCATTAAATACAAATTTTCCAGAATTGAAACAAATATATAACTTCATGGCATAGATATTGTTGCTTGTGAATAACTTAGAGTACACTTAACACATTTTATTTTATAACAACTTAATTTAATGGACAATTAAAATGTAATGTTAAATTTACATTTTTTATAATTTAAGTACATGAAAACAGACTAGTTCAAAGTCCCCTTTTCCTCATTTAATTATATTGTTTTAGTTAACTTTTCTGTAATGTATTCCTATTGCGCTACACTAATTATATCTGATACTTCATACTTAATTGGCTAGTTCTGTATTACCAATATAACATTGTTGATACTATATTGCATCTTTCCTCTAATTATCTTGATTGAATTTGTAATAGAAATAATAAAATAGTTTTTTATTTTATGAAATAAGGTTCATAAAATAGTTCTTGAAATCCAGTTTTTCAACTATTAATTCTGGCTTTAGTCCACTTTTGGGAGGCAAAGAATCAGATCTATTGCCATAGCCACCCCCATAACAGCTGGAGGAGAGAGCTGAAAGTTCTCTTGAAAGTTGCAAACATCATGTCCAGCACCACAATTGCTCATTCAGAAGTGGCAGACATATATCCTTGAACAATACAGACAAGAAACAGGGTGAGACCTCTCTGGAAAGCTCCCTCTGTGGCTTAGGAGTGGGCCAAGTGTTCAACAATACCAAGTAGCAACATTATTCTAGCAACCAAAACCATCATAACTGCAAATGCTACCAGCTCATCAACTGGTACCACAAATAGGAATTGAGTGAAATGATAGGTTCAGACATAGGAGTGACACATCCAGGTGGTGGACCACCAGTTTGACACCCCGTGCTGTAGACATTTCATTATCATCCTAGGTAACCTCATCAGTGCATGGAGGAATGGAGCTTGTTGGCAGTTTATATGTGATAGACTTTCCTAACAATTTTGATTAGTTTATTGTTTCTTCCTTGATTGGTCTTGTTTATCTAGTGCTGGTTCCTGCTTATCTAAATATTGATTGATAGGTGCTTACTTTGGAAGATCTGTTTGCCTCAATCCTTGACCTTTGGTTGTTTTCTATCTTAAAGAGTTTGTTCTTGGACCTTTTTTTCAATGTGTTTGTTAGTAGCTGAACAACAAGACTACATATATTTAACCTTTATAATTTTATAAAGCTGTAGCTTAGTTTCACTCCAACCTGCAGATACCGTAGAGATTCCACCCCTGGGTTGTCTGGGGAAGAACACTGGCTGCATAGAGCTGAAACCACTATTGGGAACTAAAAAATTGGATGACTGCCTGCATCTTTTTATGTTGTATCTTCTTGTAATGATAATTGAAATCTTGTTAACCTGACAACTGGTTTTGAGTAGCTAAATTAACTCATTCAGAAAATCATGATATTAGCATCATAAACAAGTGGATGTATAGTTATTCTCTCCCTCCCTCCCTCCCTCTCACACACACACACACACACACACACACACACACACAAAGAGAAGATTGATCCACCCTTTCTCAGTTCATATGCATTATATCTTATGGATAATATTTAGTATTCATTAAACCTGCACATTATTAATTGATTCCAGCTTCAGCTACCTTTTTTCCTGGGCTATCCAATATCTTGGGCATTCTGTTTTATCAGCAGGAAATAATACAAACTTTGGAAAATATTTCAAACAGAGAATCGAAGCAGAAACAGCCACTGGTTCTGTCTTTCGTATAATGTTGAAGGACCTGAGTACAATTCTTTAATAATGCTTTTATTATCAGCCATTATCAACTTGGGAACATGGATTATTGCCCAGTGTTGCTTGAAACTGATACCTTATTCATATCTTGCTGTCACAAACTCTGTTGGTTTCTCTGTCTTTGTCCTTGAGGCATCAATAGTTGAAATTCACAAATACTGTGAAATAGCATTTTATTTTGTAGCCAGAAATAATTGTAAAATCAAGAACCAAGTAGATTCAGCGTTGATTAAACTTCTCCATTTACTCACATGAGTCTCCCCATTCCTACTCCATATTACCTTTTTAAAAAGTTATGTAAACATGTCCAATTTTTGTGGGAATTTTTTTGATATTTTAAAAATTGGCTTATGCTATCCTATGTAAATGGGTCTCCATTTTACTAGGGGGAAAAAGCAAAATGATATATGATATCAGATTTTGGAGACATTGTTCATCGTAAATTACTGAATATCAGTAGTTTAAATAAATAAAATCAATAATATATTTTATATTGCTCTTGAATTTCCTGGAAGATCTTCATCAAAAATAAAAGAATATTTCAGTTTAGCAAAATTTAAATTCTTCTGTCTGTTTATCTTTTTTTAAATATGAAGAGAGGCTTATAAAGTGAATCAGTACTGGAGTGTATACTTGAATATGTATAAACTATCTAAGATCATAAAAAAATACTTTGCAAATAATCTTAAGGAAAATAGTTGAATTCTGGTTTAGTAACTTTCGGGGATTGTGTTCTAACCATATAGGAGGAGCTGTGGGATACATATTCAAACAGCTAAATAAGTTCAGGTAGTCCTCGAGTTATGATTGCAATGGAGCCTTCCAATTACATTCGTAACCTGAGGATTCGTTGAAGGGAATCATGTAAAATAAATGTGAAAACTCGCTGCTTTTGCCCACACATTCGCTAATAGAATGAGCAGGATATTAAGTCCATAAAGTGTCTCAGAGTGGGGAAGGCCATGAGGAATCTAGTGCTTCTGACAACCCAAGGCCGCTTTCAATCCACTCAGAGATCCCATGCTCCTCTTTCCACCTTTGGCGCCCCAAACTGCTTGGGCCTTTCCTTCTCCATCCAGTCACCAACCGCTAACTTACTTTTGGGCCACGTTTCAGAGCCCCATGCTCCCCATACTTGTCTCTTAGGTGGACTTGGGTACTGAAGCCCTTGTCCAAGCAGGTAGAGAAGCCTCTGATTCCCTGCTGAGCCCCAGTCTCACTCACAAGCGGGTGTGGCCCTACCCCACTACTTGCTGGAGTGCAGAACCCACCCGGATTTCACAAATTGCACCACTGTGGAGCTGGAGATCTTGGTGCACCACTGCCCTACCCCATAGTGTTTGTCTACCACATAGTATCAGTTCTTCCATTCACTGTTTTGAGAGATAAATATCTTATAGGCCGGTGTTGGCAAACCGAAAGAACAGGTCTTTTGGTTTCTGGCACACATGTGCATGCAAAGACCTGCTGGGCGGCATGCATGTGGGCACCAGAAACCGGAAGCTCAGCTTCACAGCGCACATATGTGCACCAGGGAACTGCTCTTCCAGTTTCCCACACTCCCACAAATGCGAATACCAGCTGGAACCCAGAGCAGCAATGGGAGACAGCTGGCGTGCCGGGAGAGATGTCTCTGCATACCACAGGTTCACCATCATGGTCATAGGAGATGAACAAGATTAAAGTCTGTTAAAAGCAAAGAGAACATTCTAATGTATGATCTTTTAATTGAATATATTAAAACAAATTAATATTAAGGGAAAAGATCATTTAACTCTCCAATTTCAAATGTAGGAAAAGATTCCAGATGAACGAAGATGGAAAAGAATATAATATCTAATGCTTTGCTCCCATAAACCACAAGATGGTGCTGGCACAATACTAGCAGGACAAGATTCAGATTCCCAAATGATATTTATATATTAAAAAAGACATCCTGTAACTGTAGTATAAGGTATTTTCTGCAGCCCAGACTTGATTTAGTAATTAGAGCTACAAGTTGATTTCCAAATTTTCATAAATTTATAAAGTTACAATACTAATTGACATCCACAGTGCACAACTATTAAACTTAACACAGTGTTTATCTAACTCCTGTCTTGTTCTTCAGAGATTGTGGAATCCAGTTCCCTTTCTGCTCCAATTGTAACATGGAAATTCTGCTTTTCCAAAAAATTAATTGGAGGCTTGAGAATGTTGATAGCTCTCTTGGTTTCCAATCCTTGTAACACTTTTTGCCACTTTTCTTTCAAGAGTTTTCTCTGCAGTTTCCCCCAAAAGAAAGCAAAGTTTTTTTCCTATCTGGGGTAAGAATGATTGGGGAATTTGATGTAGCATGTGACACAGATTGTGTCATATATATAATTAATTCAAACTCATGTGTTAGTTGTTTCTCATTTAAGTTGGTTGGCTGTGAAAATTGCATTTCACAACAGAACCTGAAGTCTTCAGTAATGTTTTGAGCTTATTTGGTTATTGAGATATTTCCTCATATAAAACACGAGAGCCTGCTTTCAAAAATGTTCTTGTTGAACTGATCTCTCCGAAAAGAATCAGTTAAAACAAAAATTGTGTTCCTTTTATCTGCAAAGAATTTAAATAAATTTAATTCCTTTTCATGACTTTTTTGCTATTGTTTTTCTTGGTCTCTTAGAGACAAGTATGTTCCAATTTTGCATCTTGTTAAATGCTGCAAGTACTGATCCCATTACAGAAATACTATGCATTTTAACTTTCCACTAGCCTGTCTTATTAATTAAAAAGTGGAAAACAATTTTAAATATGCTTCTTAAAAAATCTCTGACTGCTTTCCCAGTTCCAGCTTTATTTGTGCCTGATCAGCAAAACCCCACAAATTTAGTATCCAGTAAGTATAATACATATCTTCTATTTTAGTTCCAAAGTACTTAAGATTCTTACTGGTGAATTGATAGTAATCTGATCCATTATTCAATGTGTTTATACTAGTTTCCTCTCACAGCTTGTGAAAGAAGACTTTCTACTGCAATATTTGTTAATTAAAATCATAGTACCAGTGATAATTTCTTTTAATTTTGTACATGAATCATATTTCTCTTCAAGATCTGTGTTTTTATAATAGTTTAAGCAATTTTTGTTTATTAAAAAGAATAGTGCTGATAACAGTATAAACTGCAAACAAAAAATACAAATACAATTATTGACTAACATGTGATATGTATAAATAACCTTTAATTGATATAAAATTGGATTAGAAAATCAATCCAAGATTAATATGAAGCCTTTCACTTTGTCTTTTCCCCTGAATAAGATTAATTAAACTATTGATAGTTATCATAGTTACATTAACAGTTCACTGCTGGAACTTAGATGAGGATTTCTCCTTTCATTTTAGTTTACCAGACCTTTACGTTTTCCAGATTTTAATATTTTAAAATTTATAAGTTATTGCTATCATTGCTTGATCGAACATTGCACCATTTCTTAAATAAATTGTAATGGATTATACAATGATAGCAGAATTATTTTATCTTATTATTTCAGAACTACTATACAGAAATCATGACTTAATATAAAACCTATTGCCAGGAGTTGCTTTTGCAGCTAATCTGTTATGTATAAATATGAGTGCTAATACAGAATGTCTTTAGTACTGTAAAATATATATATGATTTGTCATGTTATCAGAATAAAGAAACTACTATGCTAGATAGAAGTGCAGTTATACAGTTACTGTATGATTTCTATAATGCTTTTCTCATTGTTTTGTTCACTTTTCTTTGAAGGTTTTCGAATGAGTGGATCATGAGGAACATACTTTAGGGACTTGCCATAGTATGGCTGCTTCTCGATCTACTCGTGTTACAAGATCAACAGTGGGGTTAAATGGTTTGGATGAAAACTTTTGTGGCCGAACATTAAGAAACCGTAGCATAGCTCATCCAGAGGAGGTTTCTTCTCTTCCACAAGTAAGATCAAGATCACCAAAGAAGAAATCAGAATCTCTGCAGACTCAGAAGGGAAATAGCAATGGGAAAGCTAATGATGTCAAGCAACAGAGTTCTAAAGAATCATGGGTAAGCCCTAGAAAGAGAGGCCTCTCAACTTCAGAAAAGGATAATGTTGAGAAACAAATTGTGGAAAATTGTGAGAAGAAACAAGTGGAACCTCTTTCACCAGTTTTAAAGAGAATTAAGCGTTGTTTACGCTCAGAAGCTCAACATAGTTCAGAAGAAGTGCTACCTTCTAAAACAGGGAAAGATCGGTTGGAACATAAACATTCAGTATCAGACAATGTCACGGTCAATCCAGGGCCTAAACGAGCTTGCCGTTGTCTTATATTGGACGATAGTGATAAAAGGGAGGTTAAAAAGGTAACTGTTTGTGCAGAAAAATTAGATCATTCTTCAATAACCGAAGAACTCATAAGTTGTCAGTCTATCAATGGGGTTAATGGGAATGGTTCAAGTGCTTCAAAGTGTGGTGACTGTCAATTGGATGGAGTCACGGCACAGAACAGTGCTGATTCCTGTTCATCTGAGGAAAAAAGTACAGCAAAAAATGGAAATACATCATCATTTTTTCATAGCAGAAATAAGGAGGACAGTTTTATAGACCACAGTGTGCCTTGCACAAATTCACAAGAACAGTTAACCTGTGAGGACCATAAACAAATAAAGAACTGTTTGTCTGAGGAAACTGTTAACCAGATACAAGAGTCAGGTACGGGTACGGGGTCCTTTTGTGAAACCCAGTCATCTTTGCTAAGGGATTCTGAGGAGGAAGTAGACGTGGTGGGTTATAGCACTGCCTCAAAAGAGCAGTCTGAAAATACCAACAGCAACCTGGACAGTTATGATAATACAACTGCTTCATGTGAACCTGAACCACCGGTTTTGGACTGTGTTTCAGCTCCAATTTCATCAACATCAGAATCTCAAGAACATAGGTACACCTTGAGAACATCACCATGGAGGGCAGGCTCAACAAAAATTAGCCCTATTAAACAAAATTCTCCATGTAAAGAGAATGGACAGCTTGAAGAGAACAATCATACTGTCCCTGAAAAGAATGTAGAATCAAGTGTTACTAATATCAATGGATCTGGTGCAAACACAGAAATTGCTCCAAGTGAAAGGGAAAGTTACTGTGATTCCAGAGAACATCCAAAGGAAGGACTAAGTAAATCAACTTCAGAAAATAAACTTATTACTCCATCCCTACCATCTGCCAAAGAAAGTGCCAGTCTTCATTCTGTAGACGAAGAGGAGGAAGAACCTGACGTGTATTACTTTGAATCAGATCATGTGGCATTGAAACACAACAAAGAGTATGTGTAAATATGGTAACCATGGATTCTGCTTTTTTGTTTGTTAAATCAAATTTCTAGTTTTCAAAATTTCTCTATTTACTCTAGGATTAATTTTAATAAACTGCTGTCTTTATAAAGCATTTAAATTTTATCTAGTGGGAAAGTAGCAGTTTTTAATCTCATTACATTTAAGGAGCTTTATGTGAATCTGATTTAATATAGATGTAGCAGGAAATTCTTTTTAAAGCGCACTTTTCTGTTTGGAGATTTATTTGGAAATAGACTTTCTACACCACAAGTTTCATTTTAACATTTTAGGTTTTTTATTATTATTTAATATAGAAACATATTTTAGAAACTCATCTACTATCTTACACATTTATTTGAATAATAAAATCTTTAAATTTGTGAATTAGAGGAGTAATGTAGATCAGCTTTGCAAATATGATACTTGGCATTAAGATAGGTGCAGAATGGAAATCATTGATTATTAAATTGATCTCATTCTCGCTCCAATTTTGTTATTTGGTGTACAGGCTCGGGATCGGTAATGGAGGTACAGATATATGAAGTTGGTCTAGAGAAGGAAAATTATTTTTTCCTTAATCAGTTAACTTTTGTAAAAGATATTGAAGTGACAGGAGTTAACCCTTTCCTACTTCATGATTGTTTTATTGAAAAAACAAATTAGTAACACGCTCCCCTTGATATGTGTGTTAGTAAAAAGTGGATGTGGCTATTAACACACACACTCTTATCTTTGGATGTGAGGGCGATGTGGCTGCGACATCTGTCACCCCATTGATTACCAGGGTTGACTCAGCTGATCTGTCTGGCTAGGCGGATGTCCCCTTCCTCCCTCACTGCTCCATGTGTGTCCCTCCTGAAGCTGCACACTCGGTGGAAGAGGACGACCATCCCAGATAGAAGGAGTGTACCGATCTTCGGTCAAGGGTATACAATAGCTGCGCTCCCCTGCTAGAACCTCCAAAACAAGCTCTCATTTGGGACTACTCTGTATGTTAGGAAAGGCAAAAAGATTTTTAGAATTTCTGATAGTACCAGTTTAATTCTGCAGTTTTACATATATAATCCAAGACCCTATTTATCTAGCAAGAAACAAATTTATATTGAATTCTGTCATTCAGATATGTTTAAAGTTATAATTATTCTTATATATGTTGTTACTACTATTTAGCAGACTACAAGATTTTAAATAGATAAGGCAACAGTTTTCAGCTGAGAGATCCACTCACCAGAGGGCTGGTGAGTGATTGATTTTAAAAACAGAAATTCATTTTGATATTGAAGTAAACATCCTAAAACATCATGCTGTAAATCACTTTTTTGCCTTTCAGGCTGTAAATTTGTTTGAAAATTTGTGCATTTGTTTGAATTGTACTGGCTTTGTAAAGGAAAGATGCAGATTGTTTTTTATGTTTAGAACAATATCATTTAAGGAAGTATTTCAGTATTATTTCAAAAACGTGTTTTATATAAAATATATGTTTTTATATTACATATTGATTTTATCTTTTAAAATCTGAAACATTTTTCGCTTGTGATTTTAACCTAGCATATTCTGTAGATTTTTTAACATTTATGATGGTTTGAATTTCAAGTTTAAGTTAAGATTTAGTCAACCACTTTGTGAAAACCATGTATTGCTTTTATTTCCAAGTGAAAGTTTGCCCTTTTTGTGTGTGCCAATACTATTGTAATAGATAATTGATAAAATGTTGATAAATTGCATGCATAGCTCTTTTTCTAAAAAGAAATTCACAATTTAGTCAAGCAGTTTCATTTGGTGCTTGCTGAACTGGCAACTAAAATTGAAGACTGGTTTCATATTTAAACCATTTGAAAAGTTGTCTTGGACTTGCATAGATTGATTATTATACTATTTGAATATATTTTCAGCACACTTGAAAGCAGATGAGTGTTTATTGTTCATAGGTACAAGAATATCACAGCTGTGGCTGATTTGCAGAAAACTGTTAAATGCTTGAGAAGAAAAATAATAGTTCTTTCAATGACCAAATCAACAAACCAACAAATTTCTGATCCTTGAGAAGAACATAGATGAAAAATTGTATGAAATCTGCAATTATTGGTAAATGTCAACAGCGTTGATTTGATACTATATTTTCCTTTTAGGATAATTTCAAATATGCAACCCCCCCCCCCCAATTCTACGTCCCCTTTCCTGTAAATCTTCTCTGGAATTACTTCTATAGGCCAGAAATCAATTTAAATTTCATGAAATAATTAAATTTATTTCATGGAAATTCATTAAAATTAGGTGCCTGAGCACACTACCACATATGGTCTAATTGCTATGAGGAATTGTACTCTGTTGCTTTTTTTGCACTTGCTGCAGATATGTTTCAATTCCTTTTCCAATATTTTATACCATATTAATTTTCTATCACATTTCTAACTGAATTAGTCTGAGGTAAATTATAGTGTCAAATCGGTGCAGCAGCGCGGTGCATTTTTTTCTAAAACAATAGGAAAGAGGAAGATAAAAGAAATTTAAAACCTGGGAATTGGGGTTATAGAATCAAGAACATTATCATTCTGTTTACCTGATTATGATTAACTGCATTTATTTAGAATTCTATCTTATCATGTCTAAGCAAGTTGGAATAATAGATCAGTTTTTGCTTTGAATTTTTGAATAAACCAGAAGCCTATGTTTATATATAACACAAAACAAACTATAAACATAACCATCTGAGTTTGATTACTTGCTTAGGCTGTCAGGTAGAGAGAAGTCAGATGATCAAATAGTGTACACAAGAGACTTGCTTCTTCCTGATAAGCCATGCTTCTGAACAAATATGAGCTATGCATGTGCACCCTACATTACTATTGGTTAACTTTTGATCTCCATATAACCTTTTCTTTTAGCCACTTTTGGATTTCATTTTGCTGTAACTTGGATTTTAGGAGATTTTATCTGGATTTTTTAAATTTACCAGATAAACTATATGCTCATAATATGCAATTTCACAATAGAATATGCAAGAATAATTCTGAGGGAAATTAAATACCAATATGTATTTAAGGAAATACTTTAGGAAATGGACTGTATCTTACCTGTGATTCAGGCAGTTTGAGACTACAAGTAATTATAGGCTTATGAGCAGTCACGTAAGACAATTCAAAGTTACAATGGACTTCCCTCAAAACTGTTTATGACCTGATTTTGACATTTTATCACCACACATGATAATATTTGGGTTGTTTCACAACTGGCCCACGTTTTCAGCCATTTGCCGCCTCCGAACATGTGACCATGGTTTTTCTTAACATTATCTTTTTATTATTTTGTAAGACACTCAGAATCGCCTCAGCAGTGAGATGGGCAGCATACACAATAAATAAATAATTTTACAAGTTTTTTTGCGATTGGTGCTGATTTCTGGGGGGAAATGCCTTTTGGCTAAAATTTGCTTAACTGTGGCATTCGCTTAGCAACCACAGGGTTTCTTTAATGACGACCACAAAAAGTCGTAAAATCAAGCATGGTCAAGTGGCAACCTGCTTAGTGACCAGCATAATTTACAGCTGTAATTCTGGGCTTGATTATAGTCATAAATTGGAACTGCCTGTATATAGTACATAAACAGCTGTTGCATAAGGGTCTGCCCCATTTATAGTAACAGTTTGCAGTTCTTTTTAATAAAGTATTGTGAAAAAGTATCAATTTGAACAAATGAAGATAAACTTGTTGATCTGCAGTTTCTTTGGATTCTAACATTTATAAACTGAAAATAATAAAGGAGTATGAAATTGTAGATGAAAACTTGGCATATGTGACTTATGTCTTTATTCTAGAATGTGGCAGTATGTGGCGATTTTAGTTCTGGGATTAATCTCTTGCCTCAGTGTTTGTGGATGATGAGAGTTCAACAATACTTGAGGTGCCATAGTCTGTCCACACTTTAGAATTTCCAAAGAGTTGGTGTTTGGTTTTTTTACATCTTTTAAATTATAATTCAGCATTAGAATAAACTCATACATTTTGGTCACATACTATATTCCATTTTGAATCATAACATCTTTCCTGGTTTCTAGGGAATTTTGACTGAGAAAAATAGCTAGAAAATGTCACCATTTGTTATTTAAATAAGGAAAGCTTCGCTATAGATCTGATTTAGATTTCAAAGTAATATTATGAAGAAATACAAATGTGCTTTTTTCTGGTTTACTATTAGCATTCTTTTCAGGATTTCTCTTTTCTTATGATAGACAAAAAATTAAAATAACAAAAAACATACTTGGAAGAGAAATCTGATAATAAATATTGATGCATGGGCAGTCTGGCACATTCTTTGAATATTTACATAAGGGAGTCAGAGTGTCAGTTAATTGAGAAAAGAACTTTACCTGGGAAAATAAAATACCCCATGTTTCCCTGAAAAGAAGATCGGGTCTTATATTAATTTTTGCACCAAAAGACGCATTAGGGCTTATTTTCTGGTTTGGTCTTCTTTTCGGGGAAATACAGTACTAAATGCATCCATCCGGCTGACGATCTTAGCAGGCTTATTTTTGGGGATAGGATTTATATTACGAGCATCCTGAAAAATCATGCTAGGGTTTATTTTCTGATTGGGTCTTATTTTGGGGGATACACAGTAAAAATATTCAATACTATTAGTGTAGCTTAGGGTTTTTTATATTTTGTGTATGGTTTTACAATGTAGCTTGATTGTATGTTATGTTTGTGTCATATTTGAATTGCAGAATTTTGTTCCATATTGCAGAAGAAAAATAATTATATGATTAAAGATAATCCCTGAAGCCTACATGAGCACAGCAACTGTTTCAAAGCTTTCTTGTTATTCAGGTTTCTAAGCAATCCTGACAAAAAAAGATTTGGCTATCTGGAAGCAGTTTGTAAACCTATAAAACAACAGTTTTTTTAAAAAACAAATGTGGAATCGAATGCACTTTTTCAAAATCATTTCCACAATGCATGCTCAACTTTATAGTTTATATTTACTTTTATTTTGGATTGCTTCTCTAGGATACTTCTATTTCTAAATAAAGTGTTTATTTTGGGGCCTTTAAGTTTTAGCATAAAGGTTGATGATGTCATTGTACAATAGGCAGTGCAACATGTAATACCTTTAATTCATTAGTTGCATGAAAAAGTTTGAGTACTCTGCTGTATATATTTCAATGAATTCCTAACTGAATGGAAGCACAATCTTTATCCTTTTTTGTCGAATATAAGTTGAGCATGACATCTTTATGTAAATTTGAATGTGCATGAATTATGTTAAATTTACAGATGTTAAGATAAGGAAGCAGTGAATAAAACTGGTGTAGAAATTTGGGTGTTCTTTCAGTTGATTCATTGCTCTTTTTTTAATTGTGAAGTTCTTGGTAAAGCCCCAAAGGATGATTGATTCATTAGTCTTTAATTAGCTTTGTGAAGACAGTTCCATAGGTGAGAAAATATTCTGATTTTACAATTTCTCAGATTGTGATAGCTTTGTCTTCTTGCAACAATAATGAACCTCTTTATGCTTCAGTAACTGTCAAGCATTGAAAATGAAGATATTCTTACAAAGCAGAAAAAGACTAAAGAAATCCAATCTTAAACTGAAACTAAGCAGTTCCAACTGTAAACGTATGGCTGAGAAAAAGAAGTTATTTGGAATTGCTGAGGCAAGATCTGGGTGAGAAAAATCTCTGCTAGAACCATCCCCAGATTTACAAAACAGTTCATTGCAGATCTTCAAAAAATTGATTTCTTACATCAATAATATATGTAACTTACAGAATGTTAACAGATTGAGATGTTATTTTGACAGTTCATAGTGCAAAAATAATAATTAAATATTATTATTTAAGTTACTTTCCAATTTCAAAACAGATAGGGTAAAGACAAATCCAATCAGTGTCAGGAACTGGGCTGTATTTATTTGTTTGTTTTTATCATTTATTGGCTACCCATCTTAGCTTAAGGTAACTGGTGTTGTATGAAGTATGTATGTAGTATAACAATTTGAAAAAAAGAGTTCCAAAAGAAGTTGAAAATATTGCTTTTTGCAATTTGTCATTGAACAGTATTTATTGTTAGGTTATGTTATAAGCTGATGTCTATGTTTGAAGATTCTTGTGTTAATGCATAATTTTTAATTGTATAAAAAGCCTGATACCTTTATGAAATTAATAGTAGATAGTAATTTGAAATTTTAGTAGATAGTAATATCAATTTTTTTTAAGTCCCACAATATTTTTTTCTGATCAATTACACATCTGTTTCATTAATTTCTGAGTAGAATTCATTATCTCAGGCTGTTTACTTTGACAAGTTTGTGTTCATCTCTGTACCTGTAACTGATGAAGAATGAAAAATTTATGCAAAAAATTTAAAATATAATCTGCTAATAATAGCACCATTGGAACTTCTATGTGATATAAAGTATTTCTTCATCATAAGGCACTTTCTCTAACCCACCATAAAAGCCCTATAATTTATAATCAGTTCAAAATTGTGCACATTTTGTTCTCAGGTTTTGTCTAGAAATGTAACTCTCTATTGTGGTTTCCTTTAAGAATATAAAAAGTAAAGGTTTCCCCTATCCAGTCATGTTTGACTCAAGGGGCTGGTGCTCTTTTCTTAGTCAAGGGAGCCCAAAGACATGTGGCCCAGCATGATTATACACCCAGTATGTATATCTTCAATTGCAGTGATGAAATACTGCCATGCATTCAATTAAGCGTATCAGTCAACAAACCCAAGATGTTCATGATTTCAGGTTATACAAATCAATTTTATGTTGTATGTGATGGGCAAGAATATGACGTGTTGCTTGAATTGTATTCATATTGCTGATACAGTCACTGATTCTAAATACTTCAAATCTGAATAGTATCTGATTCTTCATTATATGAGTGCAGACTGCTCTACTCCTAAACAACTAAAGAAATCCTAGCTGATCCATTTATAACTAAAGTAGCATTATACTATGTTTACTTGTGGCAACATGTGTACAATAATTTTCTTCTTTAGGACAGTATTGTATTTATGTGTGAAAGACAGAAAGCTTGAAGGTTGAAAACATTCACTGTAATGTTAATTTTCATATACAATTTCAACAAATATTAATTAAATGTAAGAAAAGCCCTAAACTCTTTAAAATAATTTTGTTGCCACCCAGAAACAAGCCATTTGATTATGGAGCTTAAAATACATTTATTAATATTTTATGTAACTGGAAGTTGAGCTAAATTACTGTGCGGTCCTTGGTGGTCTTTGAACTTGGTTGTTCTCTTGCAAATGTTTCATTACTTAACTAGATAACATCATCAGTGGCAAAATGGAGAGGGGTTTGTAAATGTTTACAAGAGAATAACCAAGTTTAGAGATCACCAAGAACCTCAAAGTTCAACCCTGAGCTATAAATACTCTCTTCTATTGGTAAAATTATTTTCTTCGACAGAGCATTAGAATGTGATTTAAAATAGTTATTTCAGTACTCTCTAGAACAGCGGTTCTCAACCTGTGGGTCGCGACCCCTTTGGGGGTCAAACGACCCTTTCACAAGGGTCGCCTAAGACCATCCACCTCCACCAGCATTGGCCATGCTCAGGAGTGCCCTGAAGCGGCAGGTGCATGAAGAGTGCCAGGTGGCAAAGCAGCCTCCTCCCAGCTCTGGGCGCAATCCAGGCGCCACCCTGCCTGGTCTCCACGCCAGGGAAAGGCCAAGGCGCTGAAGGAGAAGAGAGACAGGTTCTTCTGGGTGGTGGATCAGCCTCGCCTCTGACGGATCTCCGAAGTGAGTGTGGTTGGCAGCGCCACTTCAGCCCAGCTGCCTGCACAGGGGCTCGAAGGCTCCCAGAGAGCAGGAGGCCATCAGGGCAGTTGGGGCACTTCAGCCGGCAGGACAGGCTCTCACCCAGGCAGGCACATGCCGGGATTCAAGCCGCCTTGGGCCTGGATGCTGCCTTTGCCGCCCCCACCGCCAGTCCTGTCCTGCGGGCTAAACTGAGCTTGGAGGCTTTTTGGCCCCCGGAATGGGCTGGCAGGAGAGGCTGGAGGGGAGGACAGGCCACCCATTCCTTCCGTCGGAAGCACAGTACAGTGTAGCTGAAGCCTACATTTAAAATCCAATTTAAAGTGCAATTTCTTAATCTGTTAAATTGATTGCTCGCACGAATTAATGCCTGGTTGTAATGATAAAGAAAGAAAGAAAGAGAAAGGGGAGGGAGGAAGGGAAGGAAAGAAAGAAGAAAAGGGAGGGAGGAATAGAAACAGAAAGGGAGGGGGAATGGAAAGAAAGAAAAAGAAAGAAAAACGAAGAAGAGGGTGGGAGGAATAGAAAGAAAGAAAGGAAAAAAACTGGGTGGGGGGGGGAGCGAAATGTAAAAAAAGTAAACTTAATAAAGTTAAAGTCATGTAAATCCCAACCTGGCTGATCTCCCAAAACAAGATTGGCAGATTAATCACTATGCTTTAATTGTATTCAATTTGTAATAATGAAAATACATCCTGCATATCACATATTTACATTACAATTATTAACAGTAGCAAAATTACAGTTAAGAAGTAGCAACGAAAATAATTTTATGGTTGGGGGTCACCACAACATGAGGAACTGCATTAAAGGGTCGCGACATTGGGAAGGTTGAGAACCACTGCTCTAGAATTAAATCTTTGACTGACCTGATCCAATTACAGGTTTTTATATTAATTTATAGAGATGTCTTTCTAAATGTGCACTTACAGAATTCTGCCTCCAAGGAAGCTTGCCTCAATTGCCATCTTTTAGGAAATCGCGATATACTGAAATAATATGTTCAGCTTCAAAATCTTAAGCAATTTGTTACTTTACTGTTGAGTATTTATATTTTGGCTTTGTTTTTAATTGCAGAGCAGTGTTTTGTACATTCAACATTTGGATTGATCTTAAAAGGTTTTCATTCACATATCTCTGGGTTTCTAGCTTCCTGGGTATTTAAAATGATACAGACATCGGAGTGTAAGATACTCCTCCCCCAACTTGGTCCTGTCTAGTTTTTTATGAATTACAATGTTCATCTTGCTCTTTTTATATTGGAGTTATAACCCAAACCTTCAGAGCTGATATATGCATTTTGTTCTTGAAGCATTTTTAGAAGGTATGCAATGAAGTTTAAAATCTTCTTAAGCAGTATTTATAAATACATTGGTTTCACTTTTCTGTTACATAGATATCAGACTGATTTTGATTTAGGGTATTGGAATCGTTTAGTGGCAGCAGTTTTTTTTGGTGGTACAGTTGATAGCTAGAAACTTAATCTGAAGTTACAAAAAGGTTATTCTATTCAGCATCTAGGGATTTTTTTTGTATCTACAACATTTGTTTTATTGTTGATTTTCAAAAATGTTGCTTTCATTACTATTTTGAATATTAAAAGAATTTCTGACTTTTTAAATACTTGTGATATTCATGGTTCTGTTATTTTATTTTATTTTGCTTGAGTCTTTCAGATAAATGTGCTGGGTGCTAAGGTTTTGTTTTTGCTTTCATTTCTACTCCCACTTTGGTTTGCTTGCGCATAGAAGTCTATAGTGAGCTGTTTCCCTTTATCTCTGTAGTTATCAGAGACTGTTACAAACGATTGCAGTACTCGAGGCTCAGCGAACTCAAGCTGTCCAAGATCTTGAGAGTTTAGGCAGACATCAGAGAGAAGCACTGAAAGATCCCATTGGATTTGTGGAAAGTCTCCAGAAGAAGGTATAGCAATAGGAATCTTTTCATAAGCGATGTTTGATAACTGATACTTCATCTCCTGCAGACAGTGAGAGTAAATAGTAATAATAAGAGAGTAGGTGATCTCTGCAGAGGAGCCCTTCGATCTATTGTTCTAAAATCATTTCTCCAAAGCTGTGTTTATTTAAAATTGAATTAGTCATTTGTTCATGAAATTGGATGAATAATGATGACACCTTTATTTGCAGTTCTTTTCTGTTTTCAGTATTTCTTGTATTCAGTATTGCACCAATGTTCTTGCTTCATTATATCACTGGGAAATAGCATCTGAATATGTCACTGGGTAATTTTATCATCAGATTATTGATTTTGTGGAATGTATTTTATTATTAAAGAACAATAATAAAGTGAATGTATTTAAAGGGATATAATATCTATCTATATATATTGAACATTGTTCAGCTTTAGTTTTTTTGTTTCTATTTTTTTGGTCTTTTTGTAACCTCTCGGGATATAATTGTTCAGAATCTTAATGAGCAAATAATTTAATGGAAAAAGGCAACAAATGGTGATGAAATTTTAAGCATCAATCTATAACAATTTTAAATATCTGTTTAATGAGCCATCATTTTCTGCTTCTTCTATATTTTATTTTCTGTGCTTTTATTACTCTTGAAATAATTCCTTAAATGTGTGGCAGTATAGTAATACAGAGCTCGAGATCTGGCATTGCCTTAATATTAGTCCCAGTATATGTAATTTTATATCATATTACTTGGTGTTTTTTCTGTGTAAATGTTTCATTTTTTCCCCTGTCAGGTTGATGTAGGGCTTCCATTTCCACAAAGGGTTGTCAAGCTGCCAGAGATATCCTGGGACCAATATACCACAAGCCTTGGGAATTTTGAAAGAGAATTCAGAAACCGAAAGCGTAACAGTAGACGAGCCAAGCTTATTTTTGATAAAGGTAAGTATAAAGGTATTATGCTTTATAAAAGAAAAGCACTATAACTGCACTATATTGATTCTTTTTTATTTTTGTAGGTTTACCTACAAGACCAAAAAGCCCTTTGGATCCCAGAAAGGAAGGAGAGGCTACTTCATACTCTGTTTTGCCTTTTAGTGACTGTCCAGAATCTTCAACAAACAACCGTCCACAAGTAAATATGAACAGAACTAAAGTATTGCTCATATTTTCCAAAGCAGCTCTTTGAAAAATGTAGATAATTTATTGGGAAGAACTGTAGCCTTTTCTGTTTGATCAAATTATTCTTAAACTTCTTATAGACAAATGCTACAATGCCTTATTGTCAAAGCCACAGTATCCACTTCCAACTAGATCAGTAGGTGATGGTTAAGTCAGTAAATGATTTTATCTCTGAATGATCTTTAGTTTTGCTAGGAGTGAATTAACTGTTTGCAGCTCTGCTATTCTTCCTTTTTTGGTCAATAAATGAAGCCAGGTTTTTCTGCTTGAAAGGCAAGGAATGCAACTTTCTAGCAATTTTCCATTCCCTGCTCAACAATACAAACTTGAAAGCATTTTCCTTCAGACCACCTTTTTTATTTGACTGAAATTCAGTTATGCATATTATTTAAATTCCTTTCTTGTTATGCACTGTATTTCAGCAGATGATAAGAGGGCGACTTTGTGATGAGACCAAACCTGAATCTTTTAATCAGCTGTGGACAGTAGAAGAACAGGTATTGCAATAACTGTTATTTTAAAGTGAGATCATCATATAGTATTGATTTTGTTTTTCTGTTCTGTCTGTTCTTTCCTCTCCCCAACTTCATTTAAAGATGACTAGAGTTCTTTTTTGTGAGAATCAAATTGTGTTGACAACTATCATTGTTTACCATTTCAGAAAAAACTTGAACAATTACTTTTGAAGTATCCTCCAGAAGAAGTAGAATCTCGGCGATGGCAAAAAATTGCAGATGACTTGGGTAATAGAACTGCAAAGCAGGTAATGAGCTGCATTATGTTATTTTTTAGAAAACTAATAAATAGTTTCTTTTATTTGGTAAAGCAGGTTTTTAAAAGAAACAATTGTGTTTCTTCTAAGGAAATACAGTTAAAATACAATAGATGGCTTTCCATGGATGTCCTTTCCCTCATTCCAGCCCCAAAGCCTGAGATAAAGGCCAAGTTTTTTTATGCCTTTCTGAAGGCCAAAAAGGTTGGGGTCAGCCACATACAAGTCAGGTGTGGAGGTAGGGATCATTCTATAAGGCAAATGCCAAAATGCGAAAGACATACCTTCTGAGTCTCAACAAATGGCATTGTTTTTAAGAAGTGTGCCTACCTGTTACAATGTGTGGGAGAGGCAAATATCATTGGGTAGAGGCAGTTCTGCAAATAAGTCTGGTGCCATGTAAGGCTTTATAGATGGTATCCAGCACCTTGAACATCCAAAAGCTTAAAGGAGCCAATTTACTTTGCTTCCTAGTGATGTTACATGGGCACATGCCCATAATTACCCAGGGCGCTGAATTTTTGCCCATTTGTTTCTTTCAGGTGGCTTTCAAGGACAACCCCATGTATAGTTTATGTAATAATCTAGTTGGGAAGTGACTAGGGCATATGTCTTGCATACAAGACAAATTTGTGCAAATATCTTGCTGCCACAGCTGCCACCTACTCTTCAAGCAGGAACTGGCACTCCAGGAGGACCCTCACTTTGTCCTTTAAGCTTGACCAGGGGAGTTCAATCCTATTTAGAAGCAAAGATAGAAAGCGTCCCATTCTGGGATCCAGAGGACCCAAAATCCAAAACTACCCAGTTTGGCAAGGTTGAGTCAAAGACTGTTCCCATCCTTATCTTCACAACCTCCAAACACTGGGACAGAACCGTGACAGCCTCACTTGATTGACCAAAGGACAGAGATGTATGGTCCCACACTGACAAATGACCTCCCTTAGTAACCTCATTAAATATTAAAAAGAAAAATGAATTAGTGAATTAAGCATGTGTATTTTTAAAAACCCAATCTATATCAGAAGACATTACTTCATAAGGGACAATTTCTATAACACATACCACCCTGCTATTCTGTAGTAGACTGCTTTGCTAATCTACTTGCTAATCAGGGGTAATGCTGGAGAACTATCATTTTAAGATGTAACTGGATGGGAAAATAGCATATATTAAACAAATTTAATATATTTTAATTCAGATTACACTCTAAATATGGAAAAGCCATCTTTATTCTAAATACACTAGGAAAAATACAATATCCTAATTGAAAATTCAGGAAACTTTAATGAAGTTGGTTTTGATGCGGGATTTGAAGATGAGACTAGAGAGTCTTTCTGAGAGGAGAAGAATACATTGCTCTTGTCTTTTTATAATATAGAAAACAGCTTGGTAGCAGAAGGAGTCACTCATATTTATTTTTCTTAATTAAGTCTTGGCGTACATAATTAATTATTGTTCAAGAATTATATTTTTAAATATTTTCTAATAGATGTTTTCCTCTGACTTTAGGTTGCCAGCAGAGTGCAGAAATATTTCATAAAACTGACTAAAGCTGGTATTCCGGTTCCAGGCAGAACACCAAACTTGTATTTATACTCTAAAAAGGTAAAATCACAAGATTTTAGATTAATTTCTAAGATTTACTGTCCTTCAGTCCATAATAAGAAGGTTTCCAAAGAAAAAATAAAATTTGGACCCCAAATCAAATATAGGCAATACTCTAAATCTGAGTTGAAACAGATTCTCAGATTGGGTCCAACTGGATGTTTTTAAAATCAAAAACCACATCATCTGTGCAAATTTTTTTACTTGTGTTTAAGTAGACTGCATATCATCATTCAATATGCCAAGTTAGGAACTGAACTCTGATCTTACATATGAATAAAGATTGTTGCATGTTCACCATGTTCTGTCCATACTGTAGCTTCTTGACTTTTATGTAATTTGCTCACAAGGACTGTGTGATGTTCTGGAATTCCCATTTTTCTAAGCACATTCCACAACTTGACATGATTAACACAATAACCTTTTTTTGTATTCTTCAACTATACATTGTGAATCAACAATAATGTTTCATATTTGTTGGCCTTTTCTAAAGCCAACTTGAACATCTAGCTTCTTTTTCTTGGTATAGGAGTAAATCTTCATTGCATTATCCTATCGTTTTGCTAGCATGTAAATTTTGTCAGAAAGCAGACCACACACAGAATACTTAGGGCTTACACCTATTGTGAACAACTACATACTACTGAAACTCATGTTTGTGTATAACCTTTAACTAAGCAAAATGATTCATCTATAGAGCAACAATTTTTGAACCAAGGTACCTCACATGGGTTAAATGAGTCAAAAATCCAGGACTCATGACTCTTGTGGAATTGAAATTTGGCAAGTGTTATAAAACATTTTATGACATAAAAATTATAAGACATTATATGACATGATACAAAAGTCATGAAATGTTTCCCATGCTAAACTCCTGATGCTTGATTGTGCTATAGACTTCAACATGGTCCACTTTCAAGGCAGATACATATCTGACTGCCTGCCTGAATTTTTGAGAACTTGTTAGTACGTTAGAAGTTTTGCCATTGTTGATGGAATCAACAATGGCAGACCTGCCAGAATATGGAATCTGGCAAGGAAATATTTATGAAACGATGTGTAGTACCTAGTAATAATGAAGTTACTTTATGCATTAGTGGAATTAAATCAATGTTGTCTGTTTCTTTAAAATTTAAAGTACAAAATGTTTCTGTAGAGTTGACAATTCAATGTGGCAGAATGTCATTATGAAAGCTGCTGGCAGAAATGTACAAATTACACTTTGGAAACAACCGATGCTAAATATGCTATTTTGGAAAAAAATGACTAATTGAACAATTTATTTTCCAAAATATTTGTGATTAGCTGAAAAAAATGTTATAACAGACATTAAACAGATATCAAAGGTATTGTTAAAAGCTTTTTATGCAGCTCACATTTTTTTCTCATTCTTTAAAAATCGTATTTCTTCACCTCTGCTTAAAAAGGCATATTTAAATGCCATTGTTTTAAATAATCATCAGTTATTGTATAAAGCATTTTGTTTAGCTAAGAGTTTTGAGCAACTAGTTTTAAAAGGTACCAGGTGAAACTGATTATCCGAATCCCATTCAATTAGGTTTCAATCCTGATTTTTGAATGAAACAGTATTGATGAGGCTTATAAATTATTTTTGTCAGGAACTAAGCATAGGGCAGTGATGGCTCCCGTGCCAAAAGCAGGGCGAGCGCAGGGGAGAAAACAAACAGTTTTCTCTTTGTATCGCTCCCTTTCTATTTTTTTTTTTTGCTTGAGTTTCTTCATCAATTGTTCCTATGACAGGGAAGAGGGATAATATTCTTCTTTTGTAGACATCTCATCTTTGCTATCTTGCTCTGCACATGGCTTCCAATAGTGAAACAAGCAAACAAAATAAAATCTCAGATATACTGACAATGAATAATAACAAAAAGATAAACTGTCATGGTTGCCACAGAGACCATTGTGAATAACCATTACGGACAGATTTACGTTGGCACAGATCAGTCACTCACCTTTCATTCACCTTCATGCAGATATGACAGAAGCTGCAAAGCCTCGTACTTCATTCAGAACTTGGATAACTAAAGATGTGGCCTGTTTTCCTTTAAAAGCAATGTTATATTTAGGCATGGCATAATATGAAAGGCTTTTTATGGATACCTTTTGAAACTAGTCATTAAGAAATTTTAATTTGAGGGGAGGGGCCCTTGGGGCTTGGTGGTTTTTATGCAGGCGTTTTATTACTCAAATCAGGTAACATCATTAGTGCTAGTAAGGAGTGGGGTTTGCTCTCCGTTTATATTCCAGAGCTTTCTCTTGCTTGTCCTTACTAGCACTGATGTTAATCTAGTTTGGATAATGAAATGTCTGCATAAAAACAACAAAGTTCAGAGATCGCCAAAAGCCCCTAATTTCAACCCTAAATTACAAATATTCTCCTTTATTGAAACTTTAGTTTATACAGATAGACCTAAAATTCAACCCCAATACTTTCCATACACAAGCTTGGGCCTTTTCAATACTTTCAGTTGTGAAAGTTTCCTTCATGGTACTAATAATTGTAACACCCTTTTATTGTATCACTGAAAACAAGATCTTCTGTTCTTGAAGTAGCAGTTTTAGCCAAAAATGATTTTAAAGCTGAGAACTTGTTTAAAGGATGATCTGTACCTTTTCCATTAGAATATCCATGCTGATTCCTTTTAATTAAAAAAAACCACCAAACCTTTCATTAGCTTTACACATTTATTTCACCTTCATTCTTTCATAATCTCCATATGTATTTGGGCAATGTCAGAAAGTGGGCGATTCACAAAATGCTCTTGGCTTACATCTATTGTACAAAGCTGTTAATACAATTTTCCCACCCCTCTTATTTTCAGAAGTGGTGGGGCAGACTATACATTTTACAATAACTACTCATAAGAACATGTATTTTCATGAGATATATAATAATTCAATGTTTCTGTAAGCCATTTAAAATTAAATTTCCCCTTATCAGAAGTCATATTGTTTTCCATTCATTTGTTAGGTTTTCATTTGAAGCTTCATAGAAATACATAATTAGTGCTGTTTGACTGGTTTGTTTCCCTTCATTTCATATGTCAGTTTTAAAATTGGTCACACCTCTCTCACTAGACATGCTATATAAAGTAAAAAATTGGGCATTTAATGTAAAGATTCTCTTTGCCCAGTAGAGATAACAAAGCTACATATTAATTAACCTGTTCTAGCATGTGTAATCCAGTGTAAGATCTTATTCTGCCTTTCTATTTGATGGTCATATGTTGGTTGTTTTTGGGGAAGATTCTATCTAATTCAAATTACATCATGTCTTAATCTTGAGCAAAGGATGCACTGGGAAGATTTAAACATGAGGCTTAGCTGTGAAAACCTGGGTTGATTAGCTCTGTCTTTCTTTGGCAGGAGGGGAGACCCAATGATTAGAAATTTCTATCATGCCAAAATGGATTCCTTGTGGCAATTATTCTGTTGCAGAATACAGTTGCAAGAAAAAGTATGTGAACCCCTTGGGATTACGTGGAGTTTTGCATGAATTGGTCATAAAATGTGCTCTGAACGTCATCTAAGTCACAACTTTTTCCTCCCTGCACGGTGAATGTTTACATGTTATGTTCAATTAAACCATCTAATGGCAACATCTAATGTTTGTGTAGCGTTATTTTCAGCAGACTGTGTTTTTCTATTGTTGTGACTTAGATGAAATTCAGAGCACATTTTATGACCAATTCATGCAAAACTCCACGTAATCCCAAGGGGTTCACATACTTTTTCTTGCAACTATATGTTGGTTTTCTTCTGTGAAAAGAAGAGCTTTAGCTGAAAATTAAAAAAATATTTTTCTCTCTGTACGGTAGTAATATGTTAAGCTTCCTGTTCGAATAGAGATAAATATATATATATATAATGCCACCTTTACACAAATACTTATATTTATCACAGTCCTCTAGTAGACGGCAACATCCTTTGAATAAACATCTCTTCAAGCCTTCAACTTTCATGACATCCCATGAACCTCCTGTGTTTATGGATGAAGATGACGATAGATCCTGCTTTCACAGTCACATGGCCAATGCAGCAGAGGAAGAACCATCAGTAGGTTTTGCATTTAAATGTATTTTTTTAAAAAAACGTTATGTAAATGCTCTATAAATTAATATAAAGGACAAAGAAATGCTTGCATAAGTAAAAGGTCAACAAACACCCGTGCCTGTTTAGTGCAATAGAAACCCAGGTGTTTCAGATTTGAAGGAGAGAAAATGAAAACAGTGCAGATATTCCTTGATTTACATTCGTTTAGTGACCATTCAAAGTTACAAAGCACTGAAAAAAGTGACTTATGACCATTTTTCACACTTAACAATCATTGTAACATTCCCTTGGTCATGTGATCAAAATTTTGATGCTTGACAACTGGTTCATATTTATGGCTGTTTGCTATGCCCCTGGGGCATGTGATAATCTTTTGCAACTTTTGCAAAGTCAAGAGGGAAGCCAGATTCACTTAACAGCTGCAATGATTCACTTACAACTGTGGCAAGAAAGGTCGTAAAAGGGCAAAATTCACTTAACAAATGTCTCGCTTAGCAACATAAATTTTGGGGCTCAATTATAGTCATAGGTTGAGAGCTATTTTTATTCCTTTTTCAAATTAACAGAGGGTGTCCCAAACAGACTGATTTATGCATTCTCCTAGGTCAAACCTGATCAAGAAAGGGTGAGGCCAGTCTCTTCTAAGTTGTCTGAGATATAGTGGAAAGTTTTTTGTAAGATCCATACACACACATGCACGCGCACACACTTAGGCCTTTTCCCCATTACAGGAAAGCATAAGACAATTCCTGGTTTTATTTTTTCATAGAAAAAAATTCCTACAAGACAAATCACTTCAGAAGTCAAAATTTATTAATTTTTTTGCCATTTTACAAAGTCTTTGGGTATTTTGTTCTTCCACTATTAAATCTCATGTTTCAATGTTCTGGTTTATAACAAAATGGCAAAAATCAAATAAAGCTGCATTAAAATTTCTCATGCTAGAAGTTGTATTTCAGTAGTATTCAAAATTCTGGGTCAATTTAATTCTGAACTGTTTGGAACTTTGGTACTAAAGAAAAAAGACCAAATTAATGGTTTTGGAATTTTTACGGCAATTTAAAACTATTTTGAGCCATTTTCCAATATATCAGCAATCACATCATAGATTGCTATTTATTCTGGAGTTTGTTTAAGAGGTGTGGTTTCTTTTACCTTAATCCTTCTTTCTGTAACTTTGCAATTAAAAGTTGCAATTCTCTCTCTCTCTGAAATAGGATGAAGAAAGTATCCCTGTAGCATATCGTGAATTACCAGAATATAAAGAGCTGCTGAAATTTAAAAAGCTGAGGAAGCAGAAAGTGCAGCAAATGCATGCAGAAAGTGGCTTTGTCCAGCACATTGGCTTTAAGGTTGGTAAAGATTCCAAAGGCCTCATATTTCCTCAGTTATGTGAATGATAGTTTCTTTGGAAAGTAAGATCCTAATCTGGGTTCAGCATTAAGTTTCCTAGGCAATGTAAGTAAAACCTCAAAGAGTTGGGTGATTACCCTGATCTAATGGAAGATGTGAGGATGTGGTGGCTCAGTGGCTAAGACGCTGAGCTTGTTTATCAGAAAGTTGGCAGTTCGAATCTCTAGCACCGCGTAACAGAGTAAGCTCCTGTTACTTGTCCCAGGTTTTGCCAACCTAGCGGTGCGAAAGCATGTAAAATGCAAGAAGAAAAATTGGAACCACCGTGCACCTTCGGCGGTTAATCATGCCGGCCACATGACCACGGAGATGTCTTTGGACAGCGCTGGCTCTTTGGCTTTGAAACGGAGATGAGTACCGCCCCCTAGAGTTGGGAATGACTACTACATATGTGCGAGGGGAACTTTTACCTTTAGTTTTAATGGAAGATGTATTTGAGGTCTGTAAATGTAATGCACCAAACTTTTCACATTCAATTATTGGTTATATTATATAATCAAACTCTAAATATTCAAGTCTGGACTCTTACCAACTGTTTGGGAATAAACCTAAACCTGTACTTGAGAGACCGCCTACTGCCAATTACCTCCACGCGACCTATTAGATCTCATCGATTAGGCCTCCTCCGAGTTTCATCTGCCGGTCAATGCCGACTGGCAACTACGCGGAGGAGAGCCTTCTCGGTGGTAGCTCCGACCCTATGGAACGATCTCCCCGTGGAGATTCGTACCCTCACCACCCTCCAGACCTTCCGCACAGCCCTCAGAATCTGGCTATCCCGTCAGGCCTGGGGCTAAGACTGTAACCCGCCCGAATGGTATGAATGTTGTGTTTTTTAATTATGTATTGTCTTATATGTTAAAAAGTTTGTCTCCCCCTCCCCCTTGGATTGTGAGCCGCCCTGAATCCCCCAGGGAAAAGGGCGGCATATAAATAAACTTCTATCTATCTATCTATCTATCTATCTATCTATCTATCTATCTATCTATCTATCTATCTATCTATCAAACCTTACTTAAATCACTAGGCCTTCTGAACAGATTAGTGATAAAATCCTTCTTATAAAATTATCACCTTGAACATCGTAAGCAGTATGTAGAGAAGTCTTCCTTTTAAAATTTCTGAAAAGTGATGTTATACCTGAGCGTCATTACTTGGAAATTATGGTATGTTTTAAAAAAATTAGTTAATTTGCTTTGTCTACCTCCCCAATCCAATAGCTTCTGATTTATTAGGCAAAATCTCTCATCATTCCTGTCTCTTAGCCATGATGGCTAATTGAACTTCTTAGATTCCCCATGAAGTTTTTTTATCTTTGATAATATGGATATCTGAAAATCAGAGAAAAGAATTTGCTGTTTGCTTATATCATAATGATAATCTAATTTGGATCTGAACTAATTTGCCACTCTCAGTGAACCTTAAATTAGAAGATAATGGAAATGTGTTTTTTTTTCCTTTCCTTAGTCATTAAGTGAATTTAATACAGGAGGAATGGGGGAGATGAAAGCAAATTTGTAGCACAGTAGAGTAAAATATAGGAAATTGCAGGGGAATGAAAAGAGCAGTTTAGTTAGAGGAGGCAGAACAATTGTGTGAGAGAAAACAATTGGAAAAGCTGAGAAGATGCAAAACAAAGAAACTGCTTGAGAACCAAGTCTGAAATATTGACATAGGCTTGTAGATTGCTGCTTTGTCATATTGAGAAAGGGGAGAAACTTAAAAAAAGAATAATTTTATTTTACAGTAATATTAACTATGCGGTAAAACTATTAACTTGGCAAGCTGTTTATTTTTGGAGGGAAATCCTTAAGATCACTTTGCTAAATTTCTTTTCAGTGTGATAACTGTGGGACTGATCCAATTCAAGGCGTCCGGTGGCACTGCCAAGACTGTCCGCCAGCATTGTCTTTGGATTTTTGTGATTCTTGTTCTGACTGGTAAGCAGCATGCCCTGAAGACCAGCATTGACCATTACATGGCTTTATTTTTAAATGCTCATCTTAAAACGCATATTGTAGCATTCATAACCTCTTTGGAATATATAAGGCATGCTTGTGATAATTTTAAATATAGGTTTGTAGGGGACGTGAAAGTGCATGTTCTTGGTGTACATGTTTATTGCTGAAATAAACCCTACGTTTTTATATTAGATAAATTCTATAATGCAACAAGTGTGGATCTCAAAAGTAACATATTGAAGGTCCAAGAGGAAATGTGTGTTTGGGGCGGGAACTATTGCAACTTCACTATAAATATGTACGGTAAATAGAAGGTACTGGAACAAGTAGATAAATGTGTGCAAAATATTTATTAAAGATGGGAATGTATATAGAATACAAAAAATGAGAAAATGAATAGAGAAATTTAAGATGTGCAGATGATGAGAGAAAGATAATGGATGTTTTTTGTTGAAAGAGATGCATGTCAAGAGAAGGTAGAATAGCTATATATGAGAACATGTTTCTTTCATATTGTATCTCAGGAGAAGAATAAATCCAAGCTGAATGCAGTAGAATGGGGTACTTAAAAATGTGTCGGCTAGACAGGAAAAAGTAGAACCAAGAATATATGGATGTTGAATGAATTTGGATTAAATACAGAAGTGAGTGACGGGTACAAAAGAAACATTTTGAAGTGGTTGGTAGTAAAAGAAAATGAATGTGAATTGACTTGCAAAATAAATACATAAAAGAAATGAGCTGAAAGGAAGGAAATGACTAAGCTAGATGTGGTTAGATGAAATCGATGAGGTCTTCAAATAAAGAGATGAGAAGTTTAAAGAAACAAGAAGTGATGTACAAAGCAAGTACGCAGACGTGGAAAAAGCAAGGAGGGTCTGAAGAATAAAAAAAACATGGGAAAGTATTGTTCATAATATTGGGGATAATTATAGTTAGACACTGGCTTTTTCTTATCCCATGTCTTAATTTCTTTTTAAAAATTGGCTCCCTGCTTCTTTCTTCCTTTCTACAGTAGGCATATTATTTTTCTAAAAGTGATTAGCACCATGGGTAGATATTCATGTTGAAAAACATACCTTCCTGATATAAGCAATTAATTCTGAGAGGAATTTAAGGAGGAATAGTGAGTAGAATATGATCAGTGTCATGCTTCACAAATAACCATTTTTCTTTTTCTTTCAGTCTACACGAAACAGATATTCACAAGGAAAATCACCGACTGGAGCCTATTTACAGAGCAGAAATGTTCTTAGATAGAGACTACTGCATGTCCCAAGGCCCCAGCTATAATTATCTTGACCCCAACTACTTTCCTGCCAATAGATGACAAGGAAAGTAGATGTGCAACCTGAAACATAGTGTCACTTCTGAAAACCTAACAGGGGCACAGTCATTGATTCTGTGCGCACTTTGGAAAGACGTACTTTCCCAGGAATGTCATCCACTGCTTGAGAGCTTCCCAGGTGCCCTTCTCAAAATATAGCTCTCTAACCCGTCTTGTTACTAGATCACTAAATAGAGGTTGAACATTCCTAGCGTGCAGGTGGCTATACCGGGCAGATTTTCTTCACTCCATTAGTCTTTAAAAAAAAAAAAAAGTCCAAGAGATGACTTACAAAAGTGTGGCCAGAAAAGAAAGCAAACGTTAAACGTAGTCAATTCCAGAGACTTAAAGAACTTGGCTATTATGTGATGAACAGGTGATGAAATACTTAACATTGAAACAGTTTAGTAGTTTGCAGTTTTGTTGTGGAAAATAGTCTCCAGCACAGAAAACTGACTTCTTTCAGCAAAGTTTTAGCCTGTGGCAGTGTTTGCTTCTAGGAGCTACTCATAAAACAATCACTGTCCCAGAGGTGGTCGTGATAGGCCTTGGAGCTGCTTAATTACGTAGATATTTCTTTTACCTCCTTTTTGTTTTGTTTTTTTTCCTTTTTACCACAAACTTATTTACCGAGAGTGAAGCACTACAGGAGGCAACTGTGGCACTGCTTCCTTAACCAGCTCATGGTGTGTGAATATTATAAAAATTGTCATGCAGATATATTTTTAAATGTAATGTTATATAAAATGACCATGTGTTGTGTACAAAACTATGGTGAGAAGTGCCAGTGGTAGTAACTGTGTAAAGTTTCTAAATCCCCACCATTAACTCTTATGGAATACACAGCCTTCTGCCTCTGTATTTAGAGTTGTTAATGCAACTCATCAAAGAAAACTGCCTAATATAAATCATATATGGTAATAATTTTCCTCTTTTTGTAGTATGCACAAGGTCCATGAAAGATTGTATTTTTATTACTATTTAAACAAGGTGATTAAATTTAGCCTGAACAGTGAGCAAGACTTCACATGCATTCTTTTATACTGCTGGATTTTGTTGTGCATCATTTAAAACATTTTGTATGTTTCTTCTTATCTGTGTATACAGTCTGTTCTTAAATAATGTTCAGTTGTCAGGAGAACTGTGAGAAATAAACTATGTGGCTACCGTCTGTTTATATATAGAATGGTTACAGTGACTTTTTTCTGGAAAGGGTGAATTTTTGAACCAACCCTTCGATTTGAAAATACCAGTTAGGCCGTAGAGAGAAGGGGTATCTCGACTTCATCTTTTGACTTGATGTTTTATGCCACCTCTTCCAGGATAATGCTCCAGCACCCTGATTTGAACATGTCTGCTAAATTCTGTACACAACCCTATCTATGCTCTAACGCACAGACGCACCACTTGTGTGGGAGCAGATTTGCACAGCCAAAGGAATGCTCTTTTCTAAGCTCTTTTCATTGTTGAAACAAATGGGGAATCAATTATGTGGAAGAAGATGATTTCAAAAATGCCCGCAAGACTTCTGTGTAACCTGTTTTAAGTCCACGATTCTTATTTCCATTTACTTGTTCTGCATATCCACCCCCCTTCTCCATTCTCTTTATGAAATAAAGAAGGCATTTTGGTACGCTTTATTAGGTGGAGAATAGCAATGACTGAAAAAGCTTCGTAGCATTTACTATATATTTTTAGTTAATATATCATTTCAACATGCGTAAGTTGTGATCCAGAAACACGACTTATTTTAACTGTATTAGATTTCCAATTGCTTTAAAAAAACACTTGAATTTTGGAAATAATTTAGTATATGTGTTTAAATTAAACTACAGCAGTAACTAACAAGGAGTTGGCTGGCTCGTTTGATAACAGCATTAATTTGAGTTTAATTTCAGTGTTAATTTTCACATTTTGTTTAGGTGTAATCACTTTCTGTTAGAGGAGTTGAAGCATTTTTAATGGATAGATGATGCAGTATCATTTCTAAATGACATCGTCTGTAAGCATATCTCATTCTTGAGAAATTTAATAAATCAGAATATATATATATAATATAAAACCATACACCTGATGTATTTCACTTTTCTCATTAATGGTAGCAAAACTAATGTTTTGGGAAACGAGTATCTAATGCAAATATATTTCATATTATCCGAATATAAGTTCTCTGCACCCAGATGCTACATTCTGATACAGGTTGGTTAACATATTCCAGATTTGTCATATTGGGCATGTTCTAAGTACTCATTTTCTATATCCTTTAGATAGAAGGTTGGTTCAGGTGATCATACTGGATTTAGATTTTTCTTTAAACAAGACTCGAGTGATGTGAAAAATATTTCAAAGTTAAAACTTTCCAACATGGAAAGCATTTCCTTTGGGAAAATAATCCACTTTCAATAAAATGAGCCATTCTAACCTCTGTCTTGTAGTCTTTCCATGAAATAGGATATTTGGGAACATAAAATTTTAGTTTCAGAGCGCTTTGCACAGTTCCTTAAGGCAAAGACTGATTCCAGAGTAAACCCGATAATTCCAAACAAATTTATGTGGCAAGCCAAAATGATAAGGAAAATTATCTTGTTTTATAATTCTCTCATTCTTCCATTCTCGTTTGTTCAAAACATGTTTTCCTATCTAAATAATGACTTTACAGATCTCCTAAATTCATATTGGAAAAAGCAAATGATTGTCTCTGAAATTTGCATTGTTAAAAGCTGTTTTTCAAGATAGACTTCTGACTATACATTGCTTCTCAGAAGTGAGAAACTGCATATATATTACACGTTGTCAGCAATTGACTGTACCCCACCTTCCGTATACTGGTCTATGACCATAATAAAGATTGATTTGATACGTTTCCAGCAAAGTTTCAAATGCCCTTTGAATTTAAATTTTTGTTGTTTCCCATTTCCCTTTATTTAGTGTAGAGATTCTAGGGTTCTTGCTCAAAGTGCAAACCAGATGTTTATATGGTTCCTGTCAAACTGTTCAAATTTGTAGTTTTAAGTGTTAATGATATTTTTTTAAATTACTGTCAAATGTTGTCTTTGAATACAACTGTCTTGTTTTGAAAGTTGTACCACACCTGTTTCTTAGTGGAAGAATGTCTTCTAAAAGAACTGAAGGGAATGTTCATAACTATACAACTATAAAAGTTTTTGGAATTCAAAACTCTACACCCAATTAAGTGAAAATGTTTTATGTGGCTTTGGATTGGATACCTATTTGTTTTGCAGAAGCCTTAAATACAAAGAGTAAATTTGATTACCCTTAACATTTGTCCATACATTTTATTTTTATTACCTTTTCATACAAGAGTAGTAGGTTGAAAAATACAAATTTTTCTGAATTGTTCATTGATAATGCAATTGTTCTAGCATGCAAGAAGAGATAGAGGACAGCCAAAGAAAAGGAGGCAGTTTCTTATACAGGCTATTAAGATTTTTTGTTTCTTGATCAACACTCCAAAAAACTTCAGTATTTCAGTCATCAAGAAGTAAGTGTGTGTGCGTATATGCATGTGGAAAGCGTGTAGAAATCTGAATTGAACACTGCTCATTTACGATTTAAATTTCCCATCATGTTAAATGCCAAGCAATAAATTAAAGGATTTAAACCTGACAATTGCTATATGTAGCTGTCACATATACAGCAATCAGTATTTAGAGACAATGATTTGCCTGTAGTCTTTTGAAATGTGTGGATTTTTTTTAGACACTGCCATTATTAGCTCTAAATCAACCCATCTTAAAGATATAAGCAATATTTGGCACTTTTTCTTTTCTGCATACATATCCCTCTGTAAGCATTGTAAATCAAAAATCTTTCAAACCATAACTACATAGGATACTTGCATGGATGGTTGTATCACAGCTAGTCCTGCAATCACAGTTATTTCACACATGGTTCATATATTGCATATCACGCTTTTTGTGAGTCTCTTCCAATTCACTATTTGGTTTGTAAATGACTGCAAACCTAATTGCAGACATGTTCTCGTAAAAGATAATGACAGAAAACAGACTGTTCAAGAACTACAAAAAAGAGCAAGCTTAAATAGCCTCAAAAATTGATTTGCGTTCAGCAGCAAATTCACTGTTACAACACTTACTGACAGGAAATACTGTGATTGACTGTATAGTATGTCTTGTAGTAGTGAAAGAAGCATGTTTGTGTGCTATAAAACTCAGCTGCTGTTTACCATGCTGGCTTTTTTAAACCTGTGAACGGCAAACTATCATAGGCCATATACAGTACACATGTCATTACGATACCATTTAAGTTACAAAGATTTTTACAATGTTTACAACATGCATTAATTTTCCAAGGCAGCAGCTATTGCTTTGAACAGCATTTGTAAAGAATACTGTATTCTTGTATGTGTTACAGCACTGCCATTACATTAAATTCTGAAAGTGATGCTATTCCTTCAGAAAAGTATTGACTGAAGTGCATATCTCAAGAAAAACTTCCTCTGGTGTTCCTTCTGCATTTATCTGTTGAAAAAGAAAAACATACAGAGAAGTTAATTTCTCCTTTGAGATTCTTTTCACATAGTAAAGGACAACAGCAGCCTTACATAATTAGACGCCTCCCAAACTTCCCAGACTCAATAACCACTGTAAACAGGACTGAAGAATGCTGAAAAAGAATAGCATTCTTGAAATAATATGCAATACTCAAAACCAAAAACAGGAGGACTTTTAAAAAGATCTCATGGGATCCTGGGTGTTTTCTGAGCTTGGTGAGTTTTTTAAAGAGACATTTCATTACCAAACTAGATAACAGTAATGCACTGATGATGTCATCTAGTTTGGTAATTAAATATCAGCAAGGAAGCCTACAAGCTCAGAGACCATAGAAGACCCCACAGCTTAACCCTGAGTTACAGATATTCTATCAGATCCCATTATGCCTAAGTAAATTCAGCCATTAATTTGAATGTTGGGTGGAAAAGGAGTGGACAACTGGGAAGAGAACTTAGAATGCCTTGCTTGGAAACAATATTGCCTGATGCTCATGTCTACGAAAGCATGCTATTGAATATTTTGTCAGGTTGAATCTCTTGTTAGTGAGGAAATAAGTAATCAACTTCACTAGTAGAATTCAAGCAACAGACACCAGCCAAGCCTTTATAATATTACGGTAAAAAAATCTTAAAAGAGAAACTGCCTTAGGATCGGTCTGTTGTTAAAGGCCGCACATTCTGCCAACCTGCTACTTATTGGGATGTACCAAATATTTAACAGATGCTCTAAGCTTGAGACTGAACAAACTTCTGCAGGCAACCAGAAAATTGATACAAGCTCTTCTTAATAGCATCTAGAACAGTAAAATGTTTTGCAAAATGTCCACTGGCATGCTGCATCAGCCAGAACCCCACTTCCCATGACGCTAGACTTCCTCTATTTCTCCTTATGCAACCTCTGACACCACAGCATTTATTTTTCATGACCCAGAAGTCCTGCCTATGGGAAGTTCTGTTCTGTGAGATAAAACGGGTTGAGAACATTTGTTCTAGGGTTTCTAGTTTATAAGCTCCTGCAGTATGTATTTTTCTTCTTAGATTTTAAATTGCTCTTTTTTGGGGGGGGGGGCAGCTCGTCACCTAAAACATTCAAAGTAAAAAAATATACTGGGGAAGGAGAAGTATGAATCTTAAGCAATCAGTTCTTAAGTATTTTGGCAGCTGATGCTTTCTATGTTTCACGCTGAGCATTTTCAAGGAGAACCACTAAATCTCAATATGGAGATAATCTCTCAATTTCTGAAAGACATTCTGACTTTCCTATTCTATATGAAAGGACTGAGTACACAAATTATTTCAGTAATAGCAAAAAAGAAAAAGGCAATAGAAGCAATTTTCTATTTCATTTTTTCCCTATTTTTTATAATAGAATTGCATAATATAGCCTAGATAATAACCAGCAGCAGTATAGTAAGTAGCTATTTTCCTAATCTATTAAATACATTCCAGAGTTGGGGATTTTGGTGCAAGGGTGAGAAAATTTGCAAAAGGGCATACTTAAATACCTTAAGGAAATGATTCTAATTAAGAGTTTTAAATAATAAGTAGAAGAGGATAATAAAGGGAGACTGAATTGCCAAATTATTTGTAATCTAAAATAAATGCCAAATAAATTTCACTGAAGTATATGGAAACAACAGCTAGCATGTGCTATGTTATACAGAAATGTATTTAAAACCCAAAGGCTGAACCTATTCTAGATTACATCACACTTTATAATGAAAACAATGAGTGCTAAATTTGTGGTTACATTTTTTTTTCAATTTCAATGTTTTTAAATTTAGCGAAATGGAAAATCATCTGTCATTTTTCAAGTTTTCACAGTATGTATGAGTCAGGCTGATCCAGAAGAACACTCTCTTTTCATGGTGCAAAGTTCTTGTTTTCCATCATGGCCTGCAACCTTATGGGAGAAAGCCGAGGTGGCGCAGTGGTTAAATGCAGCACTGCAGGCTACTTCAGCTGACTGCAGTTCTGCAGTTCGGCTGTTCAAATCTCACCGGCTCAGGGTTGACTCAGCCTTCCATCCTTCCGAGGTGGGTAAAATGAGGACCCGGATTGTTGTTGGGGGCAATATGCTGACTCTAAACTGCTTAGAGAGGGCTGAAAGCCCTATGAAGCGGTATATAAGTCTAACTGCTATTGCTAACTGTCGTATTAATTCCAGAGAATTGTAAGGGAGAATTTTGGTCCTTCCCAGATGACAAAGGAACCTGATTATATCCAAGATCCAGAAGCCTTGCTTGAACTTAAACTAGCCACGCTGAACAACCAGTGCAGCCCCACAGCCACACATTTAGGTGAACTACTTACTTGAGGTTAACTGACCCTTCTCAGATTCACGATCAAGAAAAAACTCTAGAGAGGTTCCCCAGACCAGAACTGCTTTCTGCACTACACTACACTCCAAAAGACACTGTGGTCTTTTCTGCTTTTAACTTCCCCCATATTTTTGGGGGGTGGGTGGGGGAGGAAGATGGTTGAAAAGCAGGTTCCTGGGGGCAGACATAAATCCTATTTCTCCACTATGACATCAACTCCAACACCGGAAGGCAGAGTGGAATGTAACAACCTTTCTGCTCTTTTATGATGTTTGAGGAATAAAAATATGGCCACTGGCCAACTAATCAGTCATCCCTAAACATGACCCGCCAACATGAAAGAACTGATTAAAGAAAAAGATCTAAGTCAAACATAATTTATCTGACGAATGAAGCAAACATGCCCATCCCAGGATAATGTTGCAAGAGGTTTAGTCTTCTGAGATTTTGGACTCGTGGTGGAGCCCATCCTCAGGGAATTTCTCTCTACCAGAATATAGTTTATCTGTGACATGTTTTGTCTTTAGATTCCACCCCCCCCCCTTTCTGGCCATTTTATGTATACATAACAATCAAACAGAATATAATTCAGTTTAATTTTTAGTCTTTCCTGGATTTTCCCTGGTTATTTTCATGGATAGACTAACATGCATCTTGCAACTCAAAAAAATATATCGTATATTCCTTCTCAGTAGTAGAGATGTGAGATGACTTATTATGTCAGAACATTTGTGACATAAGTGAATTATTTCCTTAAAACGTTACCACATAAACAGAAGACAGAGCAAGTAGAATGTCAAGGCAATCTACCTTAAAAACTGGGATTCTGTTTTCGTAATATGCAATTAGTGGCTCAGCTGTTTTATAGTAAGCTTCAATGCATTTCATGATAGTTTCAATATTATCCTCAAGGCACTGGCTCTTTTGCAAAAGGCGACTACTCATAGTCTTAGAAGAACAATCCATGCAGAGTACCAGAGAGGGCTCACCAATCTGAAAAAATGGAAAAAAGAAATGGCATCAGTTCTTCCACTTTTTTTAAACTGTTCCCTTTCTAATTAAATTAGTTCAGTATAATTTTCTTCCTTTACAGCAAGGCTGTCAAATTCACGGGCCACAGGCCGAGTGCATCACGTGCGGGCCACGCCCACGTTCAGTTTAGTGAAGGGGGGGAACCAGGAAACTAATGACAATGCACTACAGTTTACATCCACGTGGTGATACTGATAGACTATATCTGCCCCAAAAATCCG